CTCCTCCCTGCCGCTCGCACATATCAAAGCCCCTTGCGAGGGACTGGGAAATAGTTGCCTTGTCATGTAACACATTGCCCTGATTTATTATAAAATTTTAACGAAATCATGCATATTTTAACAGCCTTTAATCACTGCATGAAAATTTAATTCATGGACTGTAGCGCGTTTAAATAAATGAAGTGTTAATTCATTAGGATTAATTAATTTGTTAAAGGATTGTGTGCAAGGTTAAGGTGGGAAGAAAACTCTTTGTTGGTTTCGCGCCTTAATCGCCAGGTTTGGCCGAATGATAAAATGAAAGGAAACCGCAGAGTCGGCCTTTCGGCTGCGGACCCAGAGGGAGCTGAGAAGAGAGCCCCCCCAGGGACGCGGGAAGGAGGGCGCAGGGCGGGAACCCACGGGTCCTCTCCGGAGACCGGTAGGCGGGGAGCCTGCAGGAGAGGGAGAGCCAGCGCTGGCTGCGGCATCCAGGCGGGTGAGTTCTTTAGTTCCGCCTAGGGGCTCGGGGCAGAGGCTGGCACGCCGGATTCCAACTCCTAACCCCAAACAGGTGTTGGGGAAGCGAGGTAGCCCCCGGAGGGCCAAGCCTCGGCTTAAGGGACCAGTGGAAGGTTTGCCTCTCTACCATCTTAGGTCCTCCAGTGCCCAGGAGTCCACTGGCTCGTTATTAGGCTGCCTGCCCGTTCGGTTAGGGCGAGTCCTTGAGACTCAGGGAATTTCGCTGCTGCAGAACCGAGCCAAACTTGTAAGCTCTGGCTGGAGCAATCCAGGAAATCTGTTCCAGTCAGGACTCCTGGCGACAGGAAACGGTACCTTCACCACCTCCTCTAAGTGGGCACTAAACATCTGCCCATCCCAGAACCCCCTGCGGCGCCGAACTCTTACTCATCCTTCAAGACCCTGTAGGAATAGCACCTCCCCCAGGCTGTCGGATTTCCTCAGGGCATCTCTTTAACCCGCATGTGTACTTTTTCCTAATCCTAATTTCAGCAATCTAAGTAAATATCTAAGCGTGCTCCTTGCCCCATGAAAGGACCTTTACACTCCCAGTTACCAACGTATAAAGCCCACACGTCCATACATTCGTTAATTCAGCTATTTCTTAGAGAACAGTTGTTCTCTATAAGGATTCAGAACCAAGGAATCTACCAGGTTTCAAAAAAGGGGATTGTTACCTCAAGGAATTCTGACCTGCTTCAATCCTATTAAAACTGAAGATCACATTAGCTCCAGATGGATTCTTAAAAGAAATCTGCATCTTAATAAACGCTTCCTCGCTGAGTGGGGTTCCGAGAATTGGGCAATAAATGTTCACTGTGCACTCTGAGATCTCGGCTTAAAAGCTTTTCTCCCTGCCAAGTGTTATTAAAAGGATCAGGTTACAGCGTGATAGGCAAATGCTGTGTAGTAGGACTCCCACAGTTGGGAATGCAAGATCTTATGAGACTTTGGGAAACCCTTCTAATAAAGTAAGCCACACAACAAACTCTTTAATTTGATTCTCTCTACAAATGTCATCCACAGGTACAAAACTGAGGGGAAACGTCCAGTTCCTGTATTGCACCTTGAATAACTGAAAACCATTCAAGTTCCAGAAACACGTAGTTCCTTGTTCCACTGCATCTTCAGTTGTAAATGCCAAAGAAAGGACAGGAAAACAAATTTGAAGCAGACTGGAAACCTTAGTCTGCCATTTTTTGTTATATGTCAGTGGATTCAATAACAGAAAAAAGGGACATCATTTTTGGGTGACATGAAGATTTTGAAAATAAGATGAATGTTAAAGTCACAATCAAATTCTAGCTTCCTGCTGTATCCAAACCATTTTAAGAAGTCAATATAAACTCCCATACTAGCATGTGGCTTAGCGTTAAGATGCTCACATTAACGCTGTGGAGTGCCTTGGTTGCATTCCCAGCTGGAAGCAGGAAGCAGTGATGGCTCAAGTCCTGCCGTACATGAGAGACTTGAGTTTGGTTCCCAACTGACTTTTCCATTGCAAGTGTTTTGGGAATGAAACAGCAAATGGGAGGCGCTTCTCGCTGTCTTCAATTCAAATTAAACAAGTCAATCATCTACTTATTAGTAGTCCCATCTTTGCAGCGACACAGACCAACTAGGTAAGGTTGAATCCACCCAAACATCAGTTAACGTGAACCTTTAAGGTTGGCATATACACAACTTCCACCATCAAGCTTGTTTAGAATCAGACCCAGTAACTTAGGCAAGACTTGAATGCTACTTCAGTCAAAATAAAATGACATGCTAATAGTGTCAAAATATCCTTGTATAATATCACATCCCTTCATCTTTGGGTCTACAAATATGACCTTCCTACATGGGAGTGGGAAGCAGCCTAAATTCTGCAGTCAGAAACCTGATTCCAACATGTGGTTCTACCCCATTTCACTGGAGATCAGTAATTTTCCATAGCTTTTCTGTGAATGGAGAATATTTGGTTCATAGTGTTTGAAAAAGAAACTTAATGAAACACATTAACATAATACTTGGTCTCAACAAATTTTTTGTTTAATGTAAAAATATCTATTTTAAAATCTGTGAAAACATCCTATTTGTCATGACATTCGATGATAAAGGAGTAGAGTATATATGAGAATGTGATTTAGATTCTGTATGATATTCCCTTAACTCAGGCACAACATGGGTTTCATGAATGCATGCAGTAACTGGTTCAGGAAGGCAGGAAGGAGGGCAGTAGGAAATCTGATAGGTACTTTCATTTTGGTTAGTGAATGGGTAAACCAGGCTGCACATGCCACATTTCCAACACATTGTCAGTATAGTTTTGTATTAAAAACAGATATATTCATGTTCATAGAATTAGGCTTAATCCTTGTTTGGGTCAATTTGGGCTGCCATAATAAAGCATCTCTTATCGGGTAATTATAAGTCTCTCACATTTCTGGAGACCAGTAGAGAATCAAGGTGCTAACACATTTGATGTTTGTTAAGAGCTCACTTTGTTTCAAACATGGTGCCTTACTGTGCAAGATGGGGTAAGAGAACTCGAGGTCTCTTTTGTGAAGGTACTTACTCCATTCATGAAGGAAGAGCCCTCACAATTGAATCACCTTCTAAAGACTCCACATTTTATTACCATCACCCTGGGAGTTAGTTTTCAGCATATGACTCTTGTAGGACACACAAAAAAATCTACGTAACACCCTCAATTTTACCCTGGGACCGAAACAAATTTTACATTTTGGCTTTTTAATGTATGAGCATATTATCAATAGAATTTAAGCTGCTAATATCTATAAAGATCCACTAGCTTCATCAGGTAAAATAATGAACAATTATTTAAAAGTATGCATGATAAAAATTTATGCTTTAAGTGAGCTTTCTCTGGCTAGTTACTTGACAAACGAAGGACATGTCTCTCCAAATCATAAAAGTGACGTTTCATCTTCACAGTTTCCTGAGTCTCATAAGGGTGCACACACTTTTCTGTCACAAGCCAGAGAGTGATATTTTGGGCTTTGTGAGCCACCTGATCTGTAGCAACTTATCAACTCTGCTGTTGCAGTGCAAACTGGTTAGAGGACATGTCATCAATGAGTATAGCTGTATTTCAAGGCTTTATTCAGAAAACTGAAGCCTGAATACCAACTAATCTACTCATGCATTGAACTATATTCTTGTGTGTGTGTGTGTTTTTTAAGAAGCTTTATTTCCATTGGAAAAGCAGGTCTATAGAGAAAAGGAGAAACAGAGAGAAATCTTCTATCTGCTGGTTCATTCCCTAAATGGCTCCAGTGGTTGGAGCTGAGCTGATCTGAAGCCAGGAGCTAAGAGTCTCTTCCCATATGGAAGTGCAGGGTCCCACGTGGGAAGGTCATCCACGTGGGTGCAGGGTTCCATGGCTGGGCCATCCTCTACTGTTTCTCAGGCCATAAACAGGGAGCTGGATGGGAAGGGGAGCAGCCTGGACAAGAACAAAGTGCCTATGTGGGCTCCTTGCTTGTGGGCATAGAGGATTAGGCTATTGAGCCTTTGTGCTAGCTCCTATTCTTCTGATTTTTAAAAACCATTAAAAAATGTAAAAAAAAAAAAAAAACTTTGTTTTTTTTCTCACAGCCTCAAACTCAGGTGTAGATCAGACAATTAAAAAGTAAGTTTACCAGTATAGGTAAAATCAGTACCTGAGACATCAGGAACTACAACACTTATGACATTCTTTATTCAATTCACATAGAAAAACATGCAGTAATTAATGTAAAACAATATAGTACTAAAGTAGAATGTTCAGTGCACAATAAACAGGTCACCAGCATACAGACTCATTTTTAAACATAACAAACATTTTGGAATACATGTTTTCAAAGCCTAAATTAAAGATTGTGCTTAACTTTTACCTATCCTCCCCCTCAACACTTTCCATGAAACAAAAAAGTTTGTCTTATACAAAAGCTATTCTTTTAGTCAACGGAAACTTTTCAGTATGGAAAAGAGCAGGCAAAAATCTATCATGCAGTTTCCACAAAAAAACAGTAACATGCAAACAAGACCTTTACCACCCCACACAGACACACACACAGAGACGCATACACACACAGATACACGCACGGAGACATATATGCACAGACACATGCACACACACAGACATATACACACAGACACACGCATACGCACGCACACAGACACACACACGCACACACACAGACACACGCACACACACATGTGTGCGCACATGCACGGAGACACACAGACACATACACACAGACGCATGCGCGCACGCACACAGAGACACACGCATGGAGACACAGACACGCACGGAGACACACAGACACATGCACACACACGCATGTGTGCACGCACACACACATACACACGCATGCACGCGCAGAGACACACGGAGACACAGACACACGCACAGAGACACACAGACACGCACGGAGACACACAGACACATGCATACGCACGCGCACACACAGACACATACACAGTCACTCATGGAGACACACGCGCACACACACACGGAGACACATGCACACACACGCACACACAGACACATGCTCGCGCACACACACACACACGATGTGAGTGGACTCACAATTGCAGTGAGTGCTTTATACAGGGATACCTGCAGCAGAAGCCGATTTTAAGCTCCTCCAAACCCAGCAGCTCCATGTCTTCTCCACAGTATGCTCTACTTCTAAGTTTACATACACATAAAAAGATGAGCAAGTACAGGCTGACACAAAGGGCATTTTCATATTAAAACGTATTCCTTCGGACTAACAGAAGGCTTTCACAACAACTATACAAAGCAGAAGTTTTAAAAAAAATGCAAACATATACATGAAACCTTAAAAACAGTAAAAGAATATATTGAATTAATTAAGGTTAGAGTGCTATTTTTTTCCATCATGGTCTTTCATAAAATTTGGGGCAACACTAAACATAAATAAAAAGAGTCAGATAAAATAATTTCTGCAATAGGAAAACTCAATTATCCTTATGAGCAGTGTGGAGACAATACTAAACTTATTTAAGAAATCCATGTTCTGAAGACAACTTAAGCTCTTTAACAAGCCTCTGTGTCTTTTAAAACAAAATAAATCCAACCGAGGTAAGCTTAATGTTCATTAAAAAAAAATTCTCAATTTTTCTTAAGATCACTAATTTATAAAAACATCAGTCTTTTCAAAATGAACCAAAGTATTCTGGATATGGGATTAATTCACCATTCTGACTTAAGAGAATTCAAAATATAAAGAGCTCCTTTAAGGGGAAAATAATGTTAAAAAAAGTTAATATCCCTCTCAGGACAATAATCACAAAGGACAACTTTCTAATGAGTCAACTTTTGGTTGCTTTAGATGGGCTGGCATTGGAAAGGCTGCTCTGGATTTTTCTTTTTGTTGATTGATTCACGTTTTTATTCCTTTTTTCAGGCACAAAGGAAGTAGACCAAGGTGACTGGAGGTGGTTACCAAGACTATGCATCTCCGAGGACATTTTAAACAAAGATGATCCAAACCTTTGATCATCAAACAGTCGATGTGAGCTGTTTAACAAAACTCCCTGGGAAAACTCTGTCTGAAACAAACAATTGGGTGGTTTAATTTCATTAGTTCCTGGATTAGAAGTGGAATGGAGTGAAAAATCTTCATTCATTTCTTGGTCAGATGGAGAAAGGAGGAAAAAAGAAGCAGGTTTCCATTCATTTCCATTTGCTAACTGATCAGTACTCAGAGAACCTTTGGAAAGGTTTAGCTTAGTTCTCTCTTCCAACTTCTCAGGTTCCTCCAGAAATTCACTGTCCTGAGATGACTTTGACAGCCCATCCAAATCCGCTGACTTAAAACCGTTATTACAAGGGCTCTTACTGTTGTCAGATTCTGACATCATTGAATCCAACTCAGAAATTTTGTCAAGGTAAGCAGCATCCATTGATGCTTCACTGGATGTCCGTGTCCGGTTCATTTCGAAAGAGCGAATAGAATTTAATTTCTTGGATAAACAAGAGCCTGATTTCTCACTCAGTTTTGAAGATGTTTCTCCAACAGAACTGCCTATCGTATTCCCCTCTGATCTTTCAAATTCCAAACTCTGAGCATAGCTTGTGGAACAACAATCCCAAAATCCTGTCTTTGGGGAACTAAAACATTCGGATTTCTTTTCATTTTCACTTCTACTTACATCATCTTCTGAAGAATCTTTATTACAAACACTTGGAGAATCACAAAAATCATCAAATATCAATTTTCTGAGATGGTTTGAGTGCTTCCTGGAACTTCCTGCCTTGACCATTGAACTCTCTCTATTTTCTGGAGTATTAAGCTGAAGGCAACTAAGAGACAAAGGAGTACAAGGAGCTGGAAGATCATAAAGTTCTTCATCTTTGTAGGGTACACAGTCACTAGGTTTGTTACTCCACTCTCTTTCCAAGTAAGTATCCATGTTTGTATCTGTCACATCTAACATTATTTCTACCTGTTTTTTATATAGTTCTTTGTTCTTAGAATTTGGTTCTGTCTTGCTGCTGCTTTCTTGTCTGGTAGAATTGGTGTCAGAGAGTTGGCTGATGGAGGGCTTGGCCAGGTGAGAAGAACTTAAGGTGGATGAGCCAGGCTGCTTTCTGGCACTGTCACATTGATTACTTGACACCACATCCTCCTCATTACCCTTGCACCTCTTGCCATCTGCAGAAAGTACTCCTTGGCAGAAAGAATCCATCATATCCTTTTCTTCATTTGAACGTTTTAGTTGTGTGACTTGAGATTCCAGTTCCTCTATATACTTATCACTTCGTTCCAGGGCTTTCTTGAGGCGATTGGTTTCACGTTCATATTGTTCAACTTTGGACTGAAGGGCAGCGACCGTAAACCTTCCAAACCTATAAAGAGTGGAAGGATGGTTAATTTTACAGTTTAACTGTTAAGGTCTCTTTACTTATGTATTAGTAGGTTCAGGGCAATAATTGCAAAGCTCTAAAATGATTTTTGAGAGCTAATCAGTGTAGTTTTGATAGAGGCAGAAATGAGCCGATGATTTTCCTTCCAAGAGCTAGCTCTGTCAAGTTAGCTCAAATATGCATGAAGAGTTATCTCCTAAAACAATGGCAAAGATTTATGATAACATTTCAACAGTAGTCCACAGCTTGAAATATTTACATTCAATCATTTTCCTACTGTACAGCAGCATTTTACAATACATTTCTTACACAATGTCACCTTGTCAAACATAAAATGCCAATTTGAAATTCAGAAATCTTACCAGTCCAAGGAGGAGTGGTTTTAAATACTTATTTGGACCCTTTCAATTATAGTCTCCTTTGATCTGAAGGTTTTCCTTGGACTTTCTGAGCACTGGGCTCTAATTCATTTCAGCTCTACTTATTTTTAGCATTTTGCAACTATGTAAGACATCAATCTTACTTCTTTCAACTTTGAAATACAAAGTCAGTGCTTGTGCTTCCAATATACCATTAATGAAAACATTTTTACATTTTCGTATAGTGAAAATGTTGGAGAATGACACAAAAGAATGCATAAAAAATTCAGTTATTGAACCCAGCATTATCTTTTTTTTCATTATTCTATCAATTATATGTAATAAGTCAACTCAGAGTGTTTTTTTGAGAACTTGGTATAGGTTAATGACATATTTGGACTGAGGGATATGGCAGTGTTAGCTCTAAAGGATATAAAATATCTAGGTTAAAATCTGTTATTACCAAGGAAAATTCTTTCAGGAAATTGCTTCTGGAGCCAATAAACAGAAGCCCTACATTCTAACTCCATACAAAATGTCTTCTCTTCCCCAAAGTTCTTTCAAAAGCTCTAAACATCTTTTCAATGACTTTCTTCTTTTCTAAAGAATTCAAGAATTATTTGCAGGAAGGTACTTAAGAAGTTAACAACTAAAAATTATTTTTATCTTCTCTTTTTTCCTTCATTATAAAATATAACTACAACTGAGTAAATTTATTAAGTTTAAGTTAACGTATTAAGTATAAAATGCTACAAAGGACCAGGAGCTAATAGTAACTGCACATATTAGAATCAACCACAATTTGTTAATTTACTTTTGTTCATTTGGATAACAAAGTGACAGGAAAAAAAAAAAAAGACAGGCACAGATTTTTGTATCACTTCAGTCTCCAAATGCTTGCAATAACTGGACCAAAAAACCCAGGAGCCTAGGACTCCATCTGGGTCTCCCACCTGGGTGTCAGGTGCCCACCTGCTGCCTTCTGAGATGTACATCAGCTTTGAGAACTCAGGCCAGCAGCAGGAAACATTTCCTTCCCAAACATTGGCAACTTCTTGTTTCAGGTTTAGCTTAGAGTTTCAAACATACTGCTATATTAAGAGGCTGTATTTTCCCTGAAGATTTTTATTATTATTATCATTTTTGTGGTTCTGACTTTAAATCAAATTTAGCCCAAACCATAGAAAAAAGCTGAGGTACCATGAGAACAGACAAGTCCAGCAACAGAGTGCACATAAGGCAGACAAGCAAGCAGAGGTCACTGATGGAGTTAGGCTGATCTTTAACACCAATTTCTCAAAAATTTTCTTTCACCATTTTACAAGCCTAATACTTTGCCCGCAAGTATCATGGCAGAAGCTGTGAGCCAGAAACCCAATCTAGGTCTCTCACATGGGTGTCAGGGACCCAGTTATTTTAGCCATCACCTGCTGCCTCCCAAGATGCATTTTATCGGTACTCTAGAATTGGGGGCAGAGCCAGGACTCAGTATAGGTTCCTAGATGTGAAATGTGGGTGTTCCAAGTGCTTAAACTCTAAAGTAAAATGCCCGTACTATCAGATCTATTTAGCATGCTGGTACACAAACTGACAGAAATGTATAGTGAAATACAGGGAGGTAATCAACTAGTTAATTGATCCATGTAATTTATTTGCTTTCTGTCTCACACCATTAGAGCAGAACCTCTAGGACAGCAGGAGATTTAGCTGTCTTATACGCACTGCTAGATCCCCAGAATAATTCTTGGTATGGAGCAGTACCATGTACAATATTTAAATAAATTTCATTTCTTGCTTTAAAATATGTCAGTACCTCACTTTAAGACAAAGACAACACTACAGCATTAGCTAAAGGTCTGTGGTCCTCTTTTTCTTGTAACTATGTGACAACCATTTTATGACTGACTATGTTTCATGCAATCAACTGTTTACCATTTTACTTTAAAATGAAAGCCAACTGAATGATATATATATAATATTGTTTTTAATTGACATGCTTGAAACCAAATTAAGCCTCAGCTTGTAAAGCTGGCATCCCATGTGGCTTCCAGATCCAACACAGCTCCTGCTTATGGTCTGGGAAAGCCTTGGAGGATGGCCCAAGTCCTTGAGCTCCAGCATTCACTATGTGGGAGAGCCACAAGAAGCTCCTGGCCACTGTGGCCATTTGTGGAGTAAACCAGAAGATGGAAGACATTTTTTTCTCTGTAACTGTATTTCAAATGAAAAAATAAAATAAATCTTTAAAAATACAAGTAAATGAGACATTTGACACTGGTATTAGGGGACATTTTAGCTTATCCCAAGGTACCTATGTTAAATTAGGCAAAGGACAATTTATTTTACTATATAGGTATAATGATAAAGGGTACACATCTGGTTTTATACCTTCTTGGAAAAAGACAATAAGGACAAAAGCTTAACTGTCTTTGCATGTTAATATTCTCTTCTTGCAATAATTTCAGATATTTCCAGAATATCCAACACTAAATGAAACATTCCAGGGCAAGCTAGGATTTCTGACATCATTTGTCATAGTTCCTTTTCCTGAGAAAATTTTAAAGTGGAGTATTTTATAAAACATTCCATTAGAGACCAGAAGGCTTTGATTTGCAAAGTAGCAATGATAACTAAAAGTTTCATTATGCCAGAGAAAACAGTGCAGAGCAGTTTGGGAGCTGCAATTTATACTGGAAGTATGTTTTGCACAAATCTAGCAGCAGATTAAGGTATTTTTTTTCAGCTTCCAATGTGAACTCATGCATGCATTCTGGATTAGAGAAAACAATGATAGTTTTCCTTACTCAAACAGTCACAGTGATACAAGATCATTCCTGTCTGGACCAGGAACAAGAAATAAATCTGACCTTTGAGGTACTGGAACTAGAGTTAAAAACATCTCTGATAACATGGAAGTTCTCAAGACCACATGTTTTCACAGCATAATACTAGAAGAAATCAAATGTGTTTGAAAGTGATCCAAAAGCAGGCACATAGATGCTAAATAATAAATGCCAAAGTCCAGAATCAAATGAGTTAAGCTTGGGGCAAGCTCTGTCAACAGTGAGCTAAGCTGCCACCTGCAATGCTGGTAAACCATATCAAGTCGGTTCAAGTCACATCTCTGCATCCTATCTATCTCCCTAGTAATATACCTGGGAAGGAAGGCTGAATTACTAAGGCCTGTCACCCACATTGGAGATGTGGACAGAACTGTTTGCTCCTGGATTCAGCTTGGCCCAGCTCCAGCTGTCATGGTCACTTGGGGAGTGAACCAGGTTATAGAACTCTCCCTCTGCCTTCCAAAGCAATGTATCAATCAGAAAGAACAGAAAGAAAGGAGGGAGGGAGGGAGGGAAGAAGGGAGGGAGCGAGGGAGGGGAGGGAAGGAGGGATGGAAGGAAGGAAGGAGGGAGATGTTCTGGAGCTCTGCTACTGATTTAGGCAATTTATTTTGCCTCTCTAGATCTCAGCAATCTCAACTAAAGGTATAAATATAGTGGTCAATGGGTTGCCAAGACTACCAAACTTCAGAAAGGCCAGCATGAAGTATCAAGAGGATACCATAGAAATGAGTTTACTTTCTTTCTAAAAAATTTTTTGATTTTATATCTTTTCCCTGCTTTTTAGCTGAGGGAACAGCGAAACAAAATAAAAGCAATCACTGGAAACACAGCAGCTGTTATGGGCTAGCCTCTATGACAGGTTTTCAGTGTGGATGTCCTTGCTTAATATGTTTGCTGTATGCATGGATTTCAGCTACCATTTGCTATGGTTTGAACCAGTTTTGGCTCCCAAACTCATTTGGGTATTTACTTCCCACCCAAACTTGAACTATGAGCTTCCAAAACTGTGAGCCACAATAAATTTCTTTCACAAGTAGCTACTCTCAGGATCTGTTATAATGACAAACATTTGACCAATATTCCGTGTTTTAACTAGACAATACTGGTCACCAACAAGCTTTTACTTTTAGTTACCACTTCATGTTAATACTAAGTATAAACCAGTTAAAATCTGTCCTTAGAGCTTTTCAGTTTACAATTATCAATCAGGTCACTTCTTTCAAAGCTGTCAATGACTGGTCACTCTGTAACTGTTAACACACAAGCAGGAGCTAACGCTGGCTACCTCTCTTCCAATGGAAAACCCACATAAGATTTCATAAAGGTGGATATACAAAAGGCAGATTTGAAAACAAAGACGAAGGTGTCGCATAGAAGTAAAACGTTATGGTGCTGGAAGTGAAACTAGACTCAAATGTAAAATGTATTTATGGAAAAACATTTATAGAAAAAAATGTATTACTCTGATGACAGTTACTGATGTCTAATGTGTGTTGAGGGGCTACAAAGAAGGAAACGAGAAGTAGAAATTATAATCCCTATCCAAACATATTTCATAACCTCTCTGACAACATTATTGCTTAATTATTAGCATACATTGCAGGCTCCTGAAATCTCAATAAAGGCAAGCCAACAGAAAACTGCAGTAACTGTCTATTTCCAATTAGCTGAATATCCAGAGAAGGGTCCCCGAGGCAGCTGAGGGCCTGAGCACAATTGGCTGTCACAGCTTGGCCCCAGGGTATCATCAGGTTTCACCACAGTCTACAAGTTCCCC